TGATAGATAGATAGATAGATAGATAGATGATAGATAGATAGATAGATAGATAGATAGATAGATAGATAGATGATAGATAGATAGATAGATAATAGATGATAAATGTCTGTTGCTCTCAGACAGGATCCAGGGTGAGCTATGGAAGAGCAGGAGACTTCTGCAGGAATTAGGAAGCCTCTGTGTCAGGACAAGGGTAGGATATTCTGGCCACCTTCAGAGGAGGTGTTAGCAGTGATGAGCAGGTCAGCAAACAATGTTCCAGAGATGGACAGGAGGGCACTCAGGGGGAGAACAGGTGCTGTCATGCAGGAAAGTGCTGGGGCAGGGCAGAAATGCCGGCACCTAGCAGAGTCAGCTCTCAACAAGCCTCAAACAATCCCCAAAATGCATTTGACTCTCATTGTCACCTTCCTTCCTTAGGCCTGCTTTTATTGCCTGGGCCTCAGGATCCTACTATTTGTTTTCTGAGAGATGGCATGCATAGTATTGAGAAGAGAAATGAATTGCAAGGTAGAAGGTGGGCCATGGGTTGGGAAGGGTGGAAATATAATGGACTCTAGATAAATTCAGGCAAGGGGTCCAGTCTCCACCCTGCCACTTACTAGCCATTTGATCCTGGGAAAATTAGCTGGCTCAATGAGCATCAGGTTTTTCCTCTGTGAAGAAGGTGGGTTTGATAAGCCTTGCTTTGTAAGACAGGGAATGTATGGAGTGTTTGTAAAGCACCTTACACAGTGCCTGGTGTAGATTGGAACTGTGATAAATGGCAGTTATTTCTAATATTGTTTTGATCTCAGACCCTTCCACTCTCTCTTCTGGCACCATGATTAGTTACTATCCGGGTCATATTAGAGAATATGCAGCTCAGTAGGGCATAGAACACCCAATCGGCCAAAAAGGATGTTCCACAAATAAAACTCAATAAATCTTCCCAATTCAAAGATGTATGCTCAAATTCAGGTGTAGGGGAGCCTTCCCAGCTGGACACAACACAAAGCTGATCTAAAAAGAGTGTAGGAACAACTATTTCCCTCCATCAAAGCTACTCTTTCATGCAAACAAATGCTTTTATTCATCTCACCCCTACCCAAAACCTGGCCCTTGATAATAATGGGCAAAATTACACTCAAGATTATTAACATTCAAACCTAATTATGTTGTGGGCTCTGGCTCTCCCAGGCCAGGAGAAGAGTGTTGATCATATTACTCATGGCCCAGTAACCATATTTCTGCAGAAATCCATGCAGATGATGGGCATATTGTCCAACTGGCACTGACACGGCATGCAGGAAACCACCCTTCCTAAACAGGCGGAGATTTCCCTCTGGTATAGCCATGATCCAAAGGGAACTTCTCAGGACAATTTTCCATTTCAGACTTTGCTCTCACACCCAAGACACACCATATGCTGCTGACACCAGCTTCACTGCAATCAACCCCCAAAGAAGGAATCACAGTTTCCCAAAACCCCAAACCTCCCTGGCTCAGATCATGTACATTTGACTGCGCCCCTGGAGCTCCAACCCCCCTTCTTTTACTTGTTCTGTAGGACTTAGGGGACACCTCAACACCTTCTTTATATGAATGTGGCTCCCACACTGTCATTCTGTCGGTGGGTACATCCTGCTTGTGTTAGTGTCCACGCTACTAACACAGGGCCTTCCAGAGGAAAGAGGCTCAGTGAATGTCTAGGGAATAAATGAACCACTGAGCAGGGGTCATCTTTATTCAACTGAAATGCCTCCACTTTCTTGAATGAACCAAGCAAATCCAAGGATACTTACATAATTTATCTCATAGAATGACAGATGAGAAGGGATGTTTCTTGACCCCATTGATTGTACTGCTGAGTTCTTTCACATTTCCAAGGAAATCCTGTCCTAATGCCATGTTATCTAGTTCAGAATCACAAACCAAGCTGAAAGATGTCCCAATTTCTTTCACACAGTAGCAAAACTCTTACTCTTGACCCGGGTAGTGCAAATACATGTATGCTCAATGTCATTCACAAACTTAGATGCTGAGGCTTATGAAAACTTCTATGAAAAGGAACAGCATTTGAAAAATTCCTACAGAAAACAAGAATAAATTTCCAAATCATCATCACAGAAGCCCAAAGATGCAGCAGCCCATGTTCCCCCAACTCACCCTGGGCCTCACTATCTGGAACACTGTCTGCTCTCTCCTCAAACACAGAGTGGAAAATGGGCCTCACTTCATGCCCAGCAAATGAAGCTGATGAACATGAGCCTGAAATGTGCCTGGATGCAACTATGGCTCAGGCATAGTGGTCCTCATTGCACTCAGGCCCTTCAGGCAAGGATGGGAGGAACCTGGGATCCCTGTCATTAACCTGAAGCAAAAACTTGAGGTCTTTCAACATGGTGGTCTCGGCGTGGCCCCTGGGACCCCACAGGAACTCATAAAATGCAAGATCACTATTGGGCACCTGCCCATACACCAGGTACTGTTCCTGCACCCAAACTTTAGTGGTGAGCTCCCTGGGCTCCCCGTAGAACCAATCCTCCTTCCTGTCATGCATCCCTATGACATTCAGTGCTCGCCAGACTTTCTCTTCAAGGGCACAATCACCCTTTGCAGCAATCACCCACAGAAGTGTGACCAGGGGGCCAGTGTTGGGAAATCTGTGCCCATCGCTCACTATCCCATCATAGGTGAGGCCCAAGGATGTAGGTGGGGTGGTGACCAGGACATAGGTGTGGTCACTGGGGTCTACTTCGTTCACATCAATGCTAAGGAGGACTTGCATGCACTCAGAGGCTGCGCTGAAGATCTTAGGGAAGTGGTCCTGGTACCCTTTGATGATGCTACTCAGCATTTCTGCCTTTGTGGTTGGCTCCCTGGCGCAATACTTCAGGAGCAGGAACTCCACCATTTCTGTCATCTTCAAACGCAGAGCTTTTCTGAGCAAGGAATGGGCATCATCTTCCAGGACCCCCTGAGTTCTTGGCCCTTCCTCATGTTGGCTGCTGGAGCCCTCATCTTCAGATTGGCTCCAGTGGCTGCCATGGCATGGGGTGGGGGGCAGGTACCTTGAGAGCTCTGGGGGGGATTTGGTGTCTCAGCAACAGACACCTCCTCTAAGCTGTCTAAAAACAGGACTGAGAGGGAGGAAGATACAGAGGAGAAAAGAAGCCAGCCTCCTCCTCCTCCTGCATAACCCAGAACAGTTCTGCCTCTACCAGGTGCTGGTTCTCCATTGGTTCCTGATGGTCTTCCTCAGGCTTGCAGAGCTCACTCATCTGATCTCGAGGCCTGATGACTTGTGGGCAATGGGGACCCAGGGCCAGGGGGAGATGGGGAGTGTGAGGGGCCTCAGCTCGGAAATGCACCCTAGGCGGCTCTCACAAAGGCGACTTACAGGTCTTCCCCTTAGGGGTGCTCTCAGACCTCACAGGGGTCACTCCTGATCAGCCTGTCTGCTAGGAACCTGAAGTAGGAAGTGACATGAACGTTCAAGGTGCAGAAGGCACAGCCCAAGGTTCCATGGCTGATGGTAGGGTGTGGAGGTGTTGGGCAATGTGGGGTCCCCTTTGACCTGGGTGGGGTAGACTCTGGGTACATATTCACGGTGGGCACTTCACCTTAACTCCTGGCACTCCTGGCCTTCCGCTGCTCTGTGACCTGAGAATATGTAGCTCAGACCAAGGCCTTCACCTCTTGGAATGCGGAGCTCCTGCTAGAGGAAACGAAGGGGCACCTCAGCATGCAAACAGCAAGCACTGCCCTGGGACCACAGTGTTGACAGCAGGGGTGGGACTCTGTGAGGTCCCCTCTGTTGTGAGTGTGAGGTGCCCCCTCCCCTTGCTCACTCAGGGTCTTCACCTTTCCCCTGCCAGGGCCTGGCCCCTCACCTGCCTTTTGCTGGCCTGAGGATAAACTCTCAGAACAAGACTACACACCCCTGACACTGAAGAGAGGAAAGTGAGGGGGCTCCATATCTGGTCACACGTGCCCAGAGCCTCCCAGGGGATCAAGAAGAAGTGACCAAAGTTTTGGGTCCATCTATCCTGGCTCATGTTCATCAGCTTCATTTGCTGAGAGTTTATCCTCAGGCCAGCAAAAGGCAGAACCTTGGGCTGTGCCTTCTGCACCTTGAGCGTTCATGTCACTTCCTACTTCAGGTTCCTAGCAGACAGGCTGATCAGGAGTGACCCCTGTGAGGTCTGAGAGCACCCCTAAGGGGAAGACCTGTAAGTCGCCTTTGTGAGAGCCGCCTAGGGTGCATTTCCGAGCTGAGGCCCCTCACACTCCCCATCTCCCCCTGGCCCTGGGTCCCCATTGCCCACAAGTCATCAGGCCTCGAGATCAGATGAGTGAGCTCTGCAAGCCTGAGGAAGACCATCAGGAACCAATGGAGAACCAGCACCTGGTAGAGGCAGAACTGTTCTGGGTTATGCAGGAGGAGGAGGAGGCTGGCTTCTTTTCTCCTCTGTATCTTCCTCCCTCTCAGTCCTGTTTTTAGACAGCTTAGAGGAGGTGTCTGTTGCTGAGACACCAAATCCCCCCCAGAGCTCTCAAGGTACCTGCCCCCCACCCCATGCCATGGCAGCCACTGGAGCCAATCTGAAGATGAGGGCTCCAGCAGCCAACATGAGGAAGGGCCAAGAACTCAGGGGGTCCTGGAAGATGATGCCCATTCCTTGCTCAGAAAAGCTCTGCGTTTGAAGATGACAGAAATGGTGGAGTTCCTGCTCCTGAAGTATTGCGCCAGGGAGCCAACCACAAAGGCAGAAATGCTGAGTAGCATCATCAAAGGGTACCAGGACCACTTCCCTAAGATCTTCAGCGCAGCCTCTGAGTGCATGCAAGTCCTCCTTAGCATTGATGTGAACGAAGTAGACCCCAGTGACCACACCTATGTCCTGGTCACCACCCCACCTACATCCTTGGGCCTCACCTATGATGGGATAGTGAGCGATGGGCACAGATTTCCCAACACTGGCCCCCTGGTCACACTTCTGTGGGTGATTGCTGCAAAGGGTGATTGTGCCCTTGAAGAGAAAGTCTGGCGAGCACTGAATGTCATAGGGATGCATGACAGGAAGGAGGATTGGTTCTACGGGGAGCCCAGGGAGCTCACCACTAAAGTTTGGGTGCAGGAACAGTACCTGGTGTATGGGCAGGTGCCCAATAGTGATCTTGCATTTTATGAGTTCCTGTGGGGTCCCAGGGGCCACGCCGAGACCACCATGTTGAAAGACCTCAAGTTTTTGCTTCAGGTTAATGACAGGGATCCCAGGTTCCTCCCATCCTTGCCTGAAGGGCCTGAGTGCAATGAGGACCACTATGCCTGAACCATAGTTGCATCCAGGCACATTTCAGGCTCATGTTCATCAGCTTCATTTGCTGGGCATGAAGTGAGGCCCATTTTCCACTCTGTGTTTGAGGAGAGAGCAGACAGTGTTCCAGATAGTGAGGCCCAGGGTGAGTTGGGGGAACATGGGCTGCTGCATCTTTGGGCTTCTGTGATGATGATTTGGAAATTTATTCTTGTTTTCTGTAGGAATTTTTCAAATGCTGTTCCTTTTCATAGAAGTTTTCATAAGCCTCAGCATCTAAGTTTGTGAATGACATTGAGCATACATGTATTTGCACTACCCGGGTCAAGAGTAAGAGTTTTGCTACTGTGTGAAAGAAATTGGGACATCTTTCAGCTTGGTTTGTGATTCTGAACTAGATAACATGGCATTAGGACAGGATTTCCTTGGAAATGTGAAAGAACTCAGCAGTACAATCAATGGGGTCAAGAAACATCCCTTCTCATCTGTCATTCTATGAGATAAATTATGTAAGTATCCTTGGATTTGCTTGGTTCATTCAAGAAAGTGGAGGCATTTCAGTTGAATAAAGATGACCCCTGCTCAGTGGTTCATTTATTCCCTAGACATTCACTGAGCCTCTTTCCTCTGGAAGGCCCTGTGTTAGTAGCGTGGACACTAACATAAGCAGGATGTACCCACCGACAGAATGACAGTGTGGGAGCCACATTCATATAAAGAAGGTGTTGAGGTGTCCCCTAAGTCCTACAGAACAAGTAAAAGAAGGGGGGTTGGAGCTCCAGGAGCGCAGTCAAATGTACATGATCTGAGCCAGGGAGGTTTGGGGTTTTGGGAAACTGTGATTCCTTCTTTGGGGGTTGATTGCAGTGAAGCTGGGTGGTATCAGTGGCCTGACTTTGCAGATGGTGCATCTTGCAAGTGAATGTCTGAAATCGAGAATTGCTCTGAAGTTCATTTTGGATCATGGATAAACCAGAGAGAAAAGTCCACTCCAGTAAGGAAGAGAAGGTGTCTGTCCTGTGCTTCAGTCACATTGCAGGATAAGACAGTGAAGTGATAGGTGTTTTATCCCCATTATCGGCAAGAGTTTCCTGAGAAATAAGGGTTTTGCTCCTTGAAACAATGCCCCTAAGTTACTGGACAGGCACTCTTCTCCCTGGCCTGGGAAAGCCATGGCTGACTCCATTGAATTGACAATTTATTAGTTACCTTTAGTTTACCTTGGCCAACTGTAAACAAGCACTAGATATTAGTGAGATGAAATGAAGGACAATATGTGGTTTTAATGGAAGGATAGCTGCAAAGAGGAATGCAGTTGTTCTTGGACTCAAATTCTGGGGGCTTTAGGTAAGTTGCATCCTGTTGTTCATAGTCCACACCCAAGAAGAATAATCTGTCTTCTAGGAGGGAATTTCACCAAGCAGATATTTGGGCTGATTTCCTATTTAGTTCCCAATTGAGCTTCAAGATCTTTGATCAGAGAAACACATTTTCAGAGGAGAGAATGGTAGGGCCTGGGGTCAAAATTATACCAGAAATAACTACTAACTACCGTAGGCCCAATATACACCAGTTTCCTTGTTCATGCATGCTCAGAAATGTGGAAGGCAGCCAGGACTCACAGGTGAATATTGTGACCTTGCATGGGAAGCAAGGAGAAAATTCACAGCCCCATGAGTTTTGAGGGACTAGTGCCATGGTAAGTGCAGAAATGTGCCCTGGAGTGAAGAGTGTGATGCCTCCTTCTGAAATGTATAGAATATTTTGAAAATTAGATGTGAGTTTGGATTTGAAATGCCTGCTACACAGTATGGGGCACTGGGAAAAGGTGGAGAAATTCTAGGGAGATGATTTTCTGGGAAAGTCCTCCCAGAAAGGCAGGGAATTTTGTCACAACAGATTACAGCATTTTGGAGCTTCTACTATGCAACTGTTGATTGAGAGATGTCAAGTGTTCATCTTCACCTTGTCTTCCCCTTCCCTGAATGAATGGGGACATTGCAAGTCCTCTTGTACTTAGGGAGTATTGCATGATGACCCTTTGCCACTGAATGTTGAGCAGAAGCACTTCTTGTCACAGCCATTTCTATAGAAGGCTGCACAGGGTCCGTGGATTCATTCTCAAGCTCTGAGAATGCAGACACAAAGCACTCTGTTTGCTTACCCAAGGACTTAAGTCATGTACATTTCCCCTGAGACATGAGATGCCAGATTGTGTGCCTTTAAGGCCTTGGGCAAGGGTGAGGGTGTTCAAAAGAGGAGCTGGCCCACTGGAAGCTGGCTGCAGCAATTCCTTCATTCCTCCTGCACCCCTAAGCCCCTGAGCTGTTCCCATCATTCCCCTCAGTGCTGTAATTAGTCATGATAAGGAAGCCAGCAGCCAGCTGGCCCTGTTGGAATGGTGGTGTCCTCCTTCTGAGGCCCAGCCCATTGCCCCCATCTCCACTGCTGCCCACACAACCCATTTTCTCTCCACCCTCGCCCCAGTTTGCACAGCTTGGGGCTTTGCTCTGCCTGTGTCCCCACAGACAACCGCTCAGTCCCCATTTATGATGTACATGTACAATTATCTTCACATGACAGCCCTCAGAAGAGCATCTACTTTTAGCACAGTGTGGTTCAGGCAAAGCTGGAAGGAAGTGATGTATTTTCTTCATGAGTCCCTTAGTGATTGATAAATAATAATTATTGCCTTGAGAACATGTGACTAATCACTGTGACTAAAAAATATTTTCAAATAATTCCCTTTGTAATTCCCAAATGCTTGATTAAAGTGATGGCCTTGTTCAGGTGATTATGGGGTGTTGTTATCTGAGGCTGAGGCACAGAGGGCGGAAGGGGTGCCTTGTCAGTCACCCACAAAACCAGCTGGTACCTTGGTGTTCCAAACAGGCAATTTGGGCAGATGAAAGGTTTAGCAGATGGCAGGAGTAGTCACCAGGATGCTCCCCTAGGCCCCAGACATCCCCAGAGTCAAGTGAGGATTCAAAAAAGACCTGGATAGATGCAGGCTTTGGGGTCCCAAGGTGCAAGCTGTGAAGAGGTTCAGCAGTTCCTGAAGAGTTGTAGGGAGGAGACCTGCCAGATCCCACCTGAATTGCCCTGGGATGGCCTGCGGAGGATCTTCATGGCAGATGCAGCAGGAGATGAGCTTCAGTCCTGGAGAACATCCTGAAAATGAGTGCCCTTGGGAGAAGTCAGAGGACCAGAACCTTGTGGGGCACTGCAGAACTGAAGCAGAGACTTTGAGTGTTCTTTCTTGGAAGAAGCTGACTGGTGTTGGACACTGTTTGCCCAGGGAGGTTATGAACTTGAGGGTAGTAGCAAGTGGGATGTCCCAAGCATCCTCCAGGCCCTTCAGGAAGGCTTTTTCAGAGTGCAGCATACTGTATAGAAGCTCTGTACAAGTGCACACCACCCAAGTGTCTAGCCAGTCCTGATCAAGGTGGGGCAGAGCACACAGGAGCTCTACTACCCATCAGCAGGAATATTCTCACATTCTCTAGATGCCCTGAGCCTACTCCATGAGTGACTGGTGTGACAGGTCTCAGTCATGGTCCTGCTCCCTTGAGAAGCTGCCGTTTCCCAACTAGGGTATAGTCTGCTCTGAACTCCAGCCTCCTGGGCAAGGGGCTGACCTACTGCCTGGCTCTCACCTACCTTCCTCTGTGGAAACTATGCCTGGCAGCTGTTCTTAAACCTTGGTTAGCAGGTAATTACTCCCAGGTCTCAGCCTGTTTTGGGCCCCTGAGCTAGCGGTGGGCATAGGGATAGGGGTGGGCTGGTGGCCGGATATAAGATGTGATGTCAGTGGACATCCACAAGATAGAATCAGGGGCAAAGCCATGTTTGCTCAGCACCCAGAGGGTCTATCCAAAAGGGCCCCATAGAGACCTCAGTGTGGATGCATGAGAGTACCGGCCCTGTGGGAGCTCTGCAGGAAACTCTTGGCCTGCCATGTGCCTGATGTCCAGCCTGCCCAGGGAAGCTTGCTGTAGGACAACTTTGCTTTCCATGAGAGCAGCGAATTTGAAGCAGTGCAGGTACATATACTTCTGGAATACTGGGGATGTGAGACCTTGGTATAGTCTTATTCTTTTAATATATCCTCATGGACAGCCCTATATGCTCCCCTTGGCAATTTGGTTTGTCAGAGCAAAAGAATACATTGGCAATTTGCTGTGTATTCGTGTCCTATTCCCTAAGCTAAACAGTATGCCCCAACTTCTTCATCTCTGGACTGACTGTGGTCCTGCAGATCAGTGGGTTCAACTCTGGGACTCCTTGGGACCTCACCAAAGTAGTACCTGCCCTTGAGGCCCTGGGCACTGAGAGTCTGCCTGGTCTCTGTGAAACTCTTGAAAGGGCAATAATTCCCGTTATTCAAGTGTCTTAACGGACAAACAATTTTACTCCTTAATGCCTTTTTGGAGTGAGTCCAACAGTAATTAAGATGGTGCTGGCCAATCTGGCCACTGTCAAGTACCTCTTTCTAGCAGCATGTGGGTTGCAGGTTCAACCAGACCCCAAGTTGCATATTTGCTCCTACACCCTTACCTAGCTGGGTGGCTCAGGGCACATTCTACAAGCTTCTCTGTGCCTCAGCATTCTCTCCTATATTTAAATGTTCATTGGAAACCTCCTCAGGGGTAGACACTTGACTCCATGTGAAGACTGGGCAGGGGAAGTGGACCAAAAACTTTGGACAAGGTGCTTCAGCAGCTGATAAACTTGATTCAGGTTACTCACCCTTAAAACCAGCTCATATAATAATATCCATTTTCCAGTGGGTTCACTACTTGTGAAATGTTTTCAAGTTCTCAGAAAAAAAATGTGATACATCATGGCAAAGTATGATTATCATAATTGTGATCATCTCAAGCTGCTCCTAGGTCTAACCTGCATAAAATTGCCATTCATGAAACTCTAGTATTGTAACAACTATTACCCATGATACCAAACTAATGTTTAAGATATTGTGTTCATGGCAAACTCTTAAATCATCCGGAAGGGGGTGAAGAAGGTAGACTAAGTCACTTGCTGTGAGCTTGTCCTGCTCTCCAATTCCAAAAGTAAATAGACTCCTTGAAGGGGTAGGCAACTGTAAGAGCACCAGAAAGCAACAGCAATCTTTGAGCACCAAGTGTGTATCAGGCAGTATGATATGAAAGCTATGTCATGAAATCTTCCCAACACGTTTAGAATGTAGGTTTTATAATCTCTGCAGAGGAGGTAAATTGAGGCTCAAAGATGTTGACTTGTCCAATGAAGATGAACCTGGGAGTTTAAATACGATGGTCTGGAGTGGTGGAAGAGGCCAGATGTGAGGTGACCAAAAAATCTAAGCAGGAGCCAATGAGTCTCTGAATTAGGTTAGCAAAGCAAGGATAATTCCAAGATTTCCAGCTTGGGCATCACCCACCCCAACTCGTGAACAGGTCTGCTGCCAGAGAGGCAACCCAGGAGGGGTAGGCCTTGGGGAGGGAAGATGGCTTTGGTGCAGGGTAAATGAGTTTGGGTCAGACAGCATATCTCCTTGAGCTGAACTGGGCCTTGGGAGGAAAGCTGAGAAGCCGGCTGGAATCACTGACACATCTGACAGGTGAAGCCTGAGATAAGATCGCCAAAATGCAAGGTGTCACCCTTGATCACTACCTCCCTTCCCCCAGGAGGCTTAGTACTCACTAAGGGAAATGTCTAGAAGGCAGCATGGGCCAAAGTGACATGTGTCCTGGAAGACTTCACTCCAGGCTCCCTAGACTACCTCCTCCTTTCCCGCAAGCCTGCACCTAGTCAGCGTCCTCGCTAGGCTCTCTGCCCCTTCCTCAGGACCGTGGTCTCAATCTGCCTCTAGATCCCACAGTCTCCTCAGCCCACTTCGAGGAGAGTGGGCCGAGGCTTGGCATAGCCCTCAGTCACCGGCGCTTCCCAGGGCCGGCAGGCAGGGCCTAGGGCGCATGCGCGAGTTCTGTACGGCAGCCCGGAAGGAGGGGCAGGAGGTGGTGGCTCAAGTTTCTCCGGGTGGCGGCGGCAGCAGCAGCGGGGACGCAACTGGCATGGGCACTAGGAACCCGTTGTAACGCGCAGGCTGCGCGGGGTG